GGGGGGTCCGCTCTCGACCACGGTTGAAACTTGACTCTCTTGTTTAAGGAAATGAAACATAAATTAGTAGCTTGTTAAAACTTGACAGCCCTTGTGTGACGAATAATAGAATGAGCTGTTAATTATTTGTTTTTATTTACAATTGGTTTTCGAAATTCTCCGCATTAAATCTTACTTTAGTAGTAAAATACGAAGAATTGGACAGCTCATCGCCAACGAAGGATGGATCATGTTATCTGCAATAAATACACCTAAAAAACTTCTGAAACTGTTATGTTCGTTTGTTTACAAAACTGATTTATACGAATTTTTCCTTTATTTCACTGAAATCTTTAATCTCCCCGAAAGTTGCCCAAGGAATTAATTATCGTCGCTTTCAATGTTGAATTTCGGCATCGTGAAAATCTATTTCGATTCGAATGAAGATTTCTGCTATGTCATTTTAAAAATTTCTTACGCATCTGCGAACATTGATAAAATTAAATTCGGCTGCTTTTTCTAGCCAGGCTGAGGGTACAAAATAAATGTATTTAATAAATTCACTCCATCAGCTACTGTGAAAAGTTCCTTTACCAAGTACTGAAGTACATAGTGATATGAGAATATAAATTATCTTTATTCATAACTCAAATTAGTCAGAGCGATAAAATAATTCTTGCCCCATAAACTAAGTAGCTTTATATCACAGGGAAATTTAAAATTCACTGCGCCATGAAATGCACAAAAAAATACAAGAAAATTTATTGCATTTAATGAAAACATTGATAGGAGATCACAATTTTCTTTTGTACACAGACTACATTATCGTCTGCAAACAGATTGCTAAATTCTGACTTCAAAAAGTTTGTTAAGTAATAAATGTACATGTTCGTATCGTTATATCTCCGGTAAATATTTGAATTCTCAATCATAAAACAATAATAAAGTAATGAAAGTAATTATTAAACAATAAAGTAATAAAAATATGACAATGAGCAATTGTAACAAGTTGCAAACTTCTTATTTTATTGGTTAAGGTCATTTAGAACGCCAGGGACTTCTTTGAAACCGATGTCTGAATTAGTATTATTGTTAACTTCTCTTGAAAATAATTCCAGTACAAGGTGTTACAATATACTTCATGCGAGCTAACTAACAGATTTACACGCAAAGCAATATCGCTGTCCACCTGAAGTAACGGTTATGAACATGAATATAAAATAGACAAAATCATCAGTAATGACTGCTCGAAATAATACTTTGTCGTCATGATTTGTAGATGAAGTTCAAGCGGTCAATAGACTCAGAGAAAAGCCGAAGCGAATCTTGGGCCTTTTTCTCTTTTGACCGCACAGATCAAAAGAGAAAAAGTGTTATTTAAATCATAAGACGTTCTTTTGAACTACAAAAGTCCCAAAATAGTTTTGATACCAATTGTAAAACCTCTCATAACACAAGAATCATTCAAATGAAAAGCAAAATCGATTAAAAGTAGTTGCCTAACTGAAGCGCTCGCGTAAGACATCCCAAACGAAGATAAAGTGTATAAGGTCATAAAATGTATAGTACAGAGAGTGACAATGGAAATGAATGTCAGTAGCAAGGATTCAAATCTCTTGTGCATTTCATGAGCTTGGTTGATTTAGGATGTGATACTTTCATTTAAGAGGTTCCATAGCTTCTCTAATGTAGCTCTTAACCCTGCTGAATGGTTGAAATACTTAGGATGTGATACTTTCATTTAAGAGGTTCCATAGCTTCTCTGGTGTAGCTCTTAACCCTGCTGAAGGCGAGCTGAGGGAAGGAGTCGAGCTGAGTGACGTCAACATCAGCTGACTGGATAACACCGCTGAACTGCACGCTGCTGATGCTGTAGCTGCGCCACTGTAGGAACCAGTTGCGCCCTCCCTGACGTGCGTTGCAAAGCTCTAACGTCTGCAATGAATAAAATGAATATTCAGAATTAGTAGATCGCAATGTATTAGACTGATAGTCACATAGGGAAGTAGGGACATAATGGTAATTAAATGATTAAAAACTATCATCAAGATTGGATGATGGAACTTCATTTGACGGAAAACATGTCACTCTTGGATGATAGAAAATTAGGTCATTAAATGAACATGGCAGAGACAAGAACAATTTAGAACGAGTCCTTGGAAAACATTGCCACAATTTGAAAGTATTACAATTTACTGACAGCCATCAACATTGTGAGATGAAATAGAGATTAACTTGAAACATCTATGCATTCGAAAAATAAGATACATAAAAACTGAAGCGAGAGACCAAATAATAACAGTTGGAGATGAATCAACGAGAAGTTTTATAAACGAATAGTGCAACTGTTTAGTTCATAAATAAAGTATTGCATTAAATTTTGAAAAAAACATAGTTCCAGACTGCGACGCGAAAAACGTAATTCGTGTCATAATCAATAGAATTGAGAGACTCCATACATGAGATAGAATTATTATTTTCCACGGTATAGAAAAAGTGTTGAAGATATTTTCATAATCAGTTAAAACTCCTCAAAATTTATTTACTTTCATTGAATATTCTAGTTGAAACATATTAGGTTTCGTCTTCAAAACGCATCAAAGTTAACAAATAATATTAGGGCTTCCGTATTTGCACAGAACAGGAAGAAACATTTCCTTTTAACACTTATTTGGAAGTTAACTACCATGTTGAAGTGAGTCTCAGCGACGTCAGTGGTGCCTTGACCTCTTCTTCTGCGAGTCCTCTGGAGCGGCCGCTTCGAGTTGCTGTAGCGTCTGAAGTGGAGGTGAACCAAAGAGCCTTCCAGCGTGTAACGGCCAGCCAGAACCTGCGCACCAGAGTCTTTACTATAAAAAATAGTCGTAACTCTGACATCCAATCACTGACAGCTTTTAAAGCTAAACCCGCCTATCATAGAGTAGGCATAGGCCCCTATGTGCTGAGGTCGCTACATGTACATAGGCTCCTACATATACTATATATTTTTACTTAATTTTCAACTTAATTCAAGATGCGAAGATGAGAAGGCTCACCCCACTCTAGTCTGCTCGTCTGAACCCTGCAGGTCTAACCGAGTAATTTATTGATCGAGCCTTTCATGCCCACCATCCTTAATATACCTGCTCTTTACCGGACTAATATCCCTACAGGGATATCCTTCAGTCCCGTTTTGGTTTGGCAAGTTTGTAACCCAGTGCTAGTAGAGGGTGATTGGTAGAGGGTGATTGGTAGAGGGTGACTGGTAGAGGGTGGCTGGTAGAGGGTGGCTGGTAGAGGGTGGCTGGCAGAGGGTGGCTGGCAGAGGGTGATTGGTAGAGGATGACTGGCAGAGGGTGACTGGTAGAGGGTGATTGGTAGAGGGTGATTGGTAGACGGTGATTGGTAGAGGGTGATTGGTAGAGGGTGATTGGTAGAGGATGATTGGTAGAGGGTGATTGGTAGAGGGTGATTGGTAGAGGGTGATTGGTAGAGGGTGA